GGGGATCCTAAAGAAAAACTTCCTCAGGAATCCGGGCAGGTTAGCAAGATCAAGCTTAAACTGCCCTGGACCTATAATGGGAAAAAGGAAGAGAGTGTCTTACATTGGGCAGCCGCAATTGAAACCTACGTATACGGACAGCGTATCCCATATTGGGACAGAGTATTGATGGCGACATCATGCATGGGAGGCGACRCCATGAGCTTTGCCATCTCACTGCAAAAGGAAGCCGGTTGCAACTCTATGGTAGAGTATTCGCAGCAAACGCGAATCGACGACTTCCTAAAGTTGATAAGAGAAAGATTCGAAGACAAAAATCTAGCAAGACGAACAGAAATGTTAATTCTCAGCCTTCCTGACAGGAAATGGAAAAGCACTTCTGCATTAAAGGCCACAATGGATGAATTGTTGCAATGTCCTGATCATGGATTAACGCCAGCCCAAATTTTGAATAGCTTTGCAAGAGCACTCYCGGATCCCTTAAGAACACAGCTCTATCCCCGAACCAAGGAAGATGGGATGACCTATGAGAAGTTCGGCAAGATCGCCATAGATCATGCCGGCTTCCTCGCTGAGGCGAATTATTGCCACTACTGGAAAGATCTGCAAGCGGGAAAAAGATGGCAAAACCGCACTATCTCAGGGTCTATACCTGGGAAAGATAGTCTMCTTCTAACCTTTGAAGAAGGAGGCGCCGAGACCATCTCCTGGGATCAGGTTGACTATGGTCTCGATGAACCCAACAGACCGGTAGCTCAGGAGGGGAGTTACGCGGCTGTTGCAGCCCGCGGGGGAGGGCGTCAAGGAAGAGAGCGTGGCCGAGGAAGAGGTCGCGGCCGTGGTGGAAGAGGATTCGGCACCCAKAGGGGTGGTGGCGAAGGTAGTCACTACGTGGGAGGAAGGGGAAATGGTCCCTCATACGGTGGYCGTGGTTCTTACTCCACCTGGGGTAGAGGAAGAGGCTCATGGTACAAYAAGTGGGATAAACCGTACCCACCTCATCCAGGCCTACCTGAAGGGGAGCCTTGGAAGGAGCTTGGCATAACAGAAAAAGTATGGACCGAAAGAAAGAAGGCAAACCAATGCCTCAAATGTGGGGACCCCGACCACATTGTTCCCTATTGCCCTGACTATCGGGGGGCAAAAGGGAACAGCCAGTAGAGGTGCCAGATGCCTCTACAGGGGCTTCGAGTGTTGAAAAATCAGAATCCTCCCACTCGAAGGCCCCAATGGCAGAAACTGAAGAGGAAGGAAGTCCCCATCTAGTGCACTGTCCAGAGGTGGCAAAGATATGCATCTCTCTAGATGGATCCCTCGCTGGCATGGGTGATGAGTTGCCCACTCGTCACCAGGCCTGGACTGAAATGCGTAAAAAGAAAGGACAGCTAATAATTGCAAATCTAGAGATAAATCGGATAAGAGTAGGAGGCATGATAGACAGCGGGTCTACACGTAGTTATATTAGTAAACGAGGTTTGCAAAAACTGTGTCTTGGGCTTAAGGTTAAGAAGTTAGATGAGCCCATTGTAAGTAAATTGGCGAATAGTAGTGAAACTGTCATGGATCGATACATTGAGGGAGTACAAGTATACTTTCGGCTAGAGACAGAGGGGAAGGTGGAATGTGTTCTCCACTCTCTGACCTTCTTGGTGGAAGATAACTTGCCCTTTGATGTGTTATTAGGAATGGATTGGGGTGAGGCTGCACATGCGGATCT